ACCAGGAGGAGCTGCCGAGTACGCCGGCTGCGGCTCCGTCATGCTGCACCATCCCCAAAAAAACCCTTCAGTCTCGTTAAAGGGCAAAATCGTCATTTCATTACCCTGAGGGTAGTGGTTTAGGTAAGGCACTGGTCGGATACCCGAAATATCCATGGATCGGGTACCTGCAGTACCCAATTTTCGGGTGTTTTAGTCCGGGCCTAGGTTAAGGTTTATAGCTTACTTGGTTGCCAAGCCCTCAAGATTGCCTCCGTCGCCAATGGTGATGTATACAGGCGCGGATAAGTCCTTCACGGGCGTGCAAATACCGTTAACTACATTGTACGCTATGTTGGATACGCGTTCCTGAAACGTTAAAACCGATGAATGCCCACAACAATGTTGAGAAAAAACCCGAGATTATTGTGGAGATATCACAGAGAGGGTTAGCGTTTTTTCGATCTTACGGATCTTTCGTAGGCGTGGACGTGACCAGAAAAGACGAGGTCTACTTTGTACTTGACGAACCACGACTCGAACATAACCCTCATGGTTTCGCCTTCCATGTAATGGTAATTGTAACTGTTGTACCACGGGGAATGCGTCAAGACGATTAGCCACGGCGTCTCGGATCTGTTCACTTTCGGGAGCTCCTCCTCGAGCCATTTGTATTGTGGAGTGTATTTACCTGTCCAAAGAAAAAGGACGAATCACGGGTTACCTGAAAGGGAAAATGACGCGAAAAGTGTCTCAGATTTTAGATTTTTCGTTCCTTACCATATGCGGAATAAGAAGCGAGCACGATAATGTGAGCGGGACCTCTCTTTATCGAGTACCAGAAGGGTTCGGTACTGCCTGATGATCTGTAAGGAGTTCGGTATCTATGCGAGAATGGCTTGAACGGCCTGGTTTCGCCCTGCAAACGTCAAATCCATACAAAATCTTTGATTCTTGAACACAGAATCTTGATTCTTGAATCGATTTTCGTCACGCGATGGGGGAAACGAAGAAAGATGAGACATGGAAGTGGAAAAAATGGCTTACGATTTCGGGGGCAAAGTCAAGCTCATGGTTACCAACAGTCCAAATCCACGGCTGATAAGCAGTGCTTCTCTCGACAAATCTTCCCCATGTGTCCCATCTGGCGTTGTCGTGGTTCGGATAGTTATCGGCGTAGGAAAGATCGCCCACGAACAAAACCGCCTGTCCCTTTGTCGGGTTGTTTTCGTAATGCGTCAACGTCAAGTTAGAGTCGAAACTCTGGCCAAGATCCCCTGCAAGAACGTTACGTTTCCAAACCTCCGAGCTCAATATCATTATACACACACACACACACAACCATCAGTTCTGTAACGACATTATATGATTCATACCGATGAGACCGAACGTGTAAGGGACGTCGGGTCCGAGTTCAGGAGGAGTGTGGAACCAGAACTGACGCTCGGTCTGGCCGACTCCTACCACGTAATAGTATTTGGAATTATGCTGCAAACACAACGATCAAAGCGCAAGTGGTTCAGAAACAACAAGAACGGGTGAGTGGTAGGCAAAGATCAAAGCCTTTGTTTTTTTTTCACCTCCAAGTTTCGGATGGTGCAATGGTGGATGTAACCAGAAGTGTAATTGTAGAATTTGTATCTGTTGGCTTTGCCTTCGGCTTTGAGCTTTTCGGAACTGTTCTCTTTCCAGTACAAGACCGTGTTCGTGCCTCTCTCTTGTTGTGTCACCCACGATATGATCACCGCCTTCCCCTCTGTATCGCCTTGTGTTATATGCACCTTTTTCATACACGAAAATACATCATACGGGCATCAAAAAGATGAGAATTTGAGACGTGGGTCAACATTATCAGCCAAGATCCGAGCGAAAATGGGAATCAGAAATGAAATTTGATCCATACTGACATTGTTAGCTGAAAGAGCATTTGTACTTTTGTCAGAACCTGAACATTTCTTGACATGGGTTTGTATTGTAGATGGGATTCTTTGGTACTCTCAACAACGGAAGCAAGGATCAGAAACCAGAAACCAGAACTCAAAAGACAGAGGAGATGAAACAACATAATGGTTCTACGATGTTCAAACATAATTCCAAGATTGTTTGGAGATAAGAATAAGGATTATTTTAATAAACAAATGAAATCAGAGAAAGAACTAAATCCACCAAACAGCTTTTACAAAAGAAAAGGTATAGTGAAAAGGTGATCAAATATAAAATTAGAAAGAAAACAAATCAAACACCAACACTTGGGAGGAAAACAAAGAGGCTAAAGCTTTGAACTTTATTGTTGGCGCACACAATGAAGCTATAAAGCTTCGAACTTTAATCGGAAATAAGAAGAACCCACAAAGAAACGCTATAGGATCGTTGGTTGAGAGACAAACCCAATTCGAGAAATTTGAAATCCGAATGGGAAAAAAGAAGAAAAGTGGGAGGAAACAAAATTACCTGTTGTGGAGCATTGAAACCAGGAGGAGCTTTGAAAACATCGCTATCAAGAGGCATATCGACAGTTTTCTCCAATTTTCTGATAAATCTACTGGTTTTGCTTCCATTACACAACGCCAAGCCGCTCAGGAACAAACCCAGAACAAGAACAATGGAAGACAACAGCTCTGTTCTTCGAACACGACCCATTTTCCCGAATGGTGAAAAGATTTCTTATTATTTTTTGTCCCAGATCGATGTTTCTGGGTTTATCTTATAAGGGGCGTGGAGATGGAAAAGTCCTCGTCACCGCATTATAATACCCGACGAGATCGGGGAATATTCATGGGATTGATTCGTCTGATACTTGACTTAAATTCGTCAACTCCCTTTGATTTGATCTGGCATTTTGAATTTGGGGGAAGAAGAAAAAAATCGTCTTTTTTTTTTTTCTGCTTGTTTGTTTGACAAAATTGGCATGTGACAACGCGAGATTTGTTTCCCCATCATTTTTTTCCCCCGATAATGTGTGTTTCCGACACACGAATCTAGGCTTCTCATTTGTTGGTTTCTGTTTGTTTTTTTTTTCTTTCTTTTTTTCTTTTTCCACGAAATGTAAGGAAATAAATCATTCATTGATGCTGCCGACATTGGAAAAAAAAAAGTCTTCATGCAATAATTATATATGTTAAAAGATTTTTTTAATGATTACAATAAAGATTTGTCAGAAGGAAATCGAATAAGATGCGTGTTTGTGCGTTTATACTTTATATCCCTATTTTTCGATAAGTTTTTTAAAACTTAAAATTTATATGTAGAGCCCAACCATTAAGATATTAACAAATATATATATATTATATCTTTATTACGAATGAAAAAAAAATGAAACTGAAATTGAAGTTGTGGCATACATATATGTACTAATGACACTTTGGGTTGGGAATCTTTTTTCCACTATCTCCTTTTTTAGTAAATCACATTTTTTAATGCTGTTTTATTTACATTTGACTTTGATTTCCTTTAGATAGACAAATCATATATAAATCGATGTATACATGGAAATGTTCGGTAGCGCATTCATTATATAAATGAATATTTGTAAATTGTAATGAACGTTACACCTCTGACCTGATTTATTCAAGCAAGGAATATATATGATATGATCTTTGCTAAAAGCATATTCCCTTTCTCATAATAGGAAATGGAAGATGGATGCCATGCAATGTTGTTGCAAGCGAATAATCCATGCGGATTTCACACGCTAATAATACCCACCAAAAACGTAATAATAATAATAATAATAATAATAATAATAATAATAATAATAATAATAGATAGATAGATAGAAATAATAGATAGATAGATAGATAGATAGATGGATAGAAAGTGTTAGAAGAAAGGCGAAAACAAATAAATTTTCCAAACGAAAAAGAACAAATAAAAGAAGAAATGACAAGTCTTTGAAATCATTTGTATGTGACCAATCAATCATAGATTAGTCAACGTTTTAATCAAATAATAAAATATAAAAGTTATAAGTCTAGACATAAGAAGAAAATCATGACTTGTTTTGTAGAATGTGAAGGGTAACGATTTAATTATTGATTGTATTCATATTATTTTTATATGATTTGAATGTAACGTTTTTTTAATGGTAGATAGAGATTAAAATTTATTTATTCAATTTTTTTTTAAAAAAAAGAGTTGAAGAGAGAATCTATGTGGGGGAGGCGAGGACAAAAGCACTACACTTTTACTTGGTATCTTTTCCACATTACTTTGAGATTGGTCCTCTCATTTTATTCATATCTTCTTACAAATGTTTGACATTTGTGGGACCCTCTATATTCGTATATCGGTCACCTCTCTTTTGAGTCCGGTCCCTACTTTATTTTTGCGTATTCCTCTTTTTTTAAGATTTTCTGAAAATGTTTTACGGTCTTCCTTTAAAATATGATTTAGTAGGAAAAATTGGAAGAAGTCTCAAATACCAAAATACTTCAAAAGAGACGAGATTCAATTCATTCCAACGCACGAGATGAAAAATGCGATTATTTGCATTGGTTCCTTGATGGGCTTGTTTGGGCTTCTTTATGGGCTTTCAGTTTGGACTTCTATTAGTTATTTTTTGTGCTTCTCTTTTCCTGGCCCATTGGGCCTTTCTAATTCCCTCTTTTCCCTTTTTTTTACATTGCGTTACCCAGGAGGGGTGTTAATGGGGCCGGTCCAGCCCGACTTGGTCCGAACCCGCACTCAGCCCGAAGGATTCGAGTTAGGACTCAGAATGATCCGATTTTTTTTATCTCTATGTAACTAAACCCGAAATCCGAAACCCGACCATATATATTTTGGGTCCGGATCGAGTCAGACCGGATCGGTTCGCATAATTTCCTTTGTAAATATCATTTTTTTTTCAAATTTTTATAAAAAATATCGGACGTTCAGTCTGATCCGAGAGTCCAATTTTTCCAAAGCGGAAAACTTAGATCCGGAGCCCACCAATTTTCGGGGTGGGCCGAGCCCGACTTCCAAATTCAAACCTAAATTGACACCCTATTATTACCTACTAATGAAGTGTTATTAAGAGAAATTTGCAAAAGTTGCAATTTATGCTCTTTCTCATTTCACAAGTGCATTGGCCAAAATCCACAAGATTTTCTATTAATCTGTTTCTTTCTCTATATATATATACACACACACATATGTATGGAGAGAGATTTTAAGTCATGAATATGAGAAAACTTAAATGCCAACCACTTAAATTTGGCATGTGATGCTTACAAAATAAGAGAAAGACACTTGAAGCAAAAACACATATGAATGAATGTAACCAAAGATAACAAGTTTAACCACCACCAACCAAGCCCTATTCATGAAAACATCAACAGTTCCTCTGTCATCATCAAAGCAACTTTGTCCTTTTCCTTTCTATGAGATTCTACACAGACCACAATAGAATACAAAACACACAAGCAATACTACTTACACCTTGGAAAAAACACATCACAATCAATTGGAAGCCATTAGCTGACCCTGTTTGGTGCTAATGTTATCTGTAACCACTTGTCTTCTCTCCTCCCAGAAATGAAGATTTTGCCATTCAGGGTTAGCAGTTGATTTAACAAACACAAGAACCTAAATCTGATGGGCACCTAAAATTCAACACCTAAATCAAGAACTCTACTTTGGTATTCACCCGTGAGGGTAGTAACTGATCACCTGTTTTCCATTAGAGCACTGAGTATGGATTAACTAATCATACGAGATCAGCTCCTGCGAAATCATCCCAAGTCTAGTTCCAAACAGAGAAGATATTGCAAGGATTCTAACCACATAGATCTTGATACCATTACTTCTAGGCTCTATTTCAACAGAAGAATCCAAGATGATCTTTAATCAGGAAACTTGGAATAAAGTATGTCAATACCCGAATATGGAATCAGATTCCCTGCTGCTTTTTGGTCCACTGACTTCCCCCTAATGATTCATAATCAACACCAACGTGTTTCTCCAAAATATGAAAGACAGGTCAAAAGATATGGTGAGAATTGAAGTAATAGCTATATGCATTAATCAACACTAATACGAAAACGTAAGTCCTTGACAAACGACAACCAGATTTCCAGAGAAACCCGATTTACTTAGAGGAATGATTAGAGATTCAACTACTACCATTTACACAAGCAATTTTCCAGAAACTGAAGAATTCTAGCGAAGTGCCACCAACTTCACGGTGTTTTCTGTGCCATGTGCTCGAATCCAATCAGCACCTGAATTTCATACCGAGCCCGTGCTTCCCGCGGACACATCCAGGTTTCAAGTGCGAATATGGAGACGTCTTGGAAGTGAAAACCTTCGAGAACGCTCTCTTCCCCAGTTTCCTCATCCTCTGCCTCCCCAGCTTTCCGCTCACGCTCCTCGGCACCAGCTCATCATCAAGATCGTCGTCCACATCATCATCATCACCACCACCATCGCCATCATCATCACCATCACCGTGACCATGATCCTCGTTACCTTCATCATTATCATGGCTATAACCATGACAGCCATAACCATCGCCGGCAGAAAAACCTGAATCTCCACAATAAAGCAACATCTGCGGCCAAGAGCCACCACGGCCGTCGTCGACACAATCACCACCGCCGAGATCCAGATCCGGGACGCCGTCACCACCGTCAACCTCCGGGAGAGTCTGCGGCGAGGGAGACGGAGAATTAGGGGACGAGGAGTCCAGAGAAATGACGTCATCGGGAAGACTGTCGACGGAGAAGGAATCGTCAGAGTAGTCGGCATCGGAGGGATTGACGAATTCCCAGAAGGAGAGATCGTCTTCTTCGTGGTCGAGAACGAGAGGAGCCATGGTGATAACCCTAGATCGCTTCGCCATTTCTTCTCTTCGGTTTTGGTGTTTGTTTCTTCGTTCCAAAGATTTTTCTTTTTGATCCAAGAGACGTCTCTGTTTGTTCGCTGGGAGAAGTTACCATTTAATAAAGGCAAAGCGTGTGACCATATGTCAACTGTGAGGAACACGCATCACTGTCCAATAATATCTCGCCACGTCATCGACCTGAGTCCCGAATCATAGGCCACAAGACTGGTGATTGGTCCATTTGATCAAATATGAAATTAATTTAATGAAGCCAAGGCAACAGATTATATAATTGTAATTCAAAAGTTTCCTCCGTGCATAACCAAAACACAGCTACCGAACACTGTAAAATAATATATTCGGCTTCGAAATGATTCCTCGCGATGGAATATTCCCCAAGATTCATTAATAAATTCAATTGATCATATAAATTTAGCAGATTTGCACGTGTTTTGTGGGGTAAAATTTTCATATTAATAGATCCGTTTTTGGATCCGAATAGTTGTCGGGTTTGGTATTATTGGGCCAAGCTTGTTAGCTTGAAGCTCATTTTAGCTGGACTGATGTAATGTAACAAAAAAATGTTTGGAAAAAAAATGAAAATTGCATGGATTTTATTTATACATAAAACTGGGTCTAGAGCTATAAAACGATCTCTATATATATATATCTATATCTATATATATATAAATCACAAAACCCTACAAAATTTAAACGTGAAAAAGGCCTAAAAATTAATAATAAAATTCATTATAAAGAAATTCGGATCACAACTACAACAATACATCCTTTGGTTGGTTAATTACAAAGATTAACAAGCTGCCAGTGTGAAAAGTACCACCAATTTCTAAGTCACATGATACCAGCCATATATATACATATGTGTATATATCGTCGGTCATACTTGTCGATCGGAGAATGAAACAGGAGGTCGATATGGTTGCAAATTTGCAATGCTTTATAAGAGATTGAGGTGTTGTACGTAATGGATAGTACATGGTAGTGCAGAGTGATAAACGGTCCTTTTTTTTTCTTGTCTTGGTCGACGAGATGAGTTCTCCATACTTATCAAATTAAATTGTGAGGAGAGAGGCATAATCATACGTATTAAGATTTGTACTTATTTGAATGGGGTTTGAAAATAGAAATGTCTCGTTAACATCTCGAGGCAGGAACGCTTAAAAAATGAGCCTTTCGATATTTTTTTTGATAATCAGAATGGTTCTCTGAGTTTTCACTCCGACTATATTCACCCTAGATCCGTGGTTAGTCTTTGTTATAAATCATTTTGGTCCAAGAATTACATCTCTCCCCATCGATAGAATCGAACCCAGTACCTTAAAGTGTCAGTTCTCAACTATTAGACCACTAACTGTTGGGTGTGTTTCAATATTCTTTTCACACGAATAAGAGAGATGGTACATGCATTGAAGAAGAAGAAACGATAGCAGCTCATCTAAAAAAATAAGTAGATGCAAAGAGGTTTATTGCAACATAAATTAAGTTTAAATCGAGAAATCCATAGAGTTTAAGGGTTCGATTTATTTGGATTAAAGAAGAGATAAAGTCAAACAAAAAAAAAATCGATATTTTTTTTGATAATCAGAATGGTTCTCTGAGGTTTCACTCCGACTATATTCACCCTAGATCCGTGGTTAGTCTTTGTTATAAATCATTTTGGTCCAAGAATTACATCTCTCCCCATCGATAGAATCGAACCCAGTACCTTAAAGTGTCAGTTCTCAACTATTAGACCACTAACTGTTGGGTGTGTTTCAATATTCTTTTCACACGAATAAGAGAGATGGTACATGCATTGAAGAAGAAGAAACGATAGCAGCTCATCTAAAAAAATAAGTAGATGCAAAGAGGTTTATTGCAACATAAATTAAGTTTAAATCGAGAAATCCATAGAGTTTAAGGGTTCGATTTATTTGGATTAAAGAAGAGATAAAGTCAAACAAAAAAAAAACGTTTCCGCTCTTGCATAGGAAAAAAGAGATGTTTTGAAGTCAAACGGTCCATTAAAGACATATTAATCAATCCCACTATCCCAGACTAGTTGTTATTCAACGAATATACAAAGATGATATTTGGCTATACATAAAAATACCAATTACTTAAATTCAACAATATCTAGATGGAAGGATAACAAGAGGGCGTTTGGGTGGCGGTTGGGTTGTTCGTACAATTTAATAGAATTAAAGGTGTTTTGGTCCCCGTATATATATATATATACACACACACAAAGACCGGGCATTTCTTTAAAAGGGTGTTTTTATATTCTTGTGTGCATGCAAAAACAAAGAAGAATCCATCGGAATATATATCCGGAGATCGGAAAAAAAATGGAGAGTATGAGAGAGATTCTGAGACACCCAGATGAAATTTATCCGATCCTGAAGCTGAGAATGGCTGCGAAGAGAGCGGAGAAGCTGATCCCACGGGAGAGCCATTGGGGATTCTGCTTCTCCATTCTTCCCAAGGTTTCTCGAAGCTTCTCTCTCGTTATCCAATAACTCGGTCCCCTGCTCCGCGATCGACGCCGTACGTATCCCCCCATATATATAGAGAGAGAGAGACATATACACACATATATTAACCACAAGATCATCCTTTTTCTAATTCTGTCCAAGCATCCCAATATGGTCGAGATGATTTAATGGTCGAGAGGTCACAAAATCATTCTAAAATTTTGATTTTGGATTTGATTTCACTCAGTCGTGGAAGGGAGAGAAGCAATTAATTACGTATTTAAATATTGATTCCAACCTCATTATAAAAAAAAAAGAATTTTGCATGACTTATTTGATTTTTGGTAATTATTTTAATTTGTAGGTATGTGTGTTCTACCTGGTTCTCCGTGCCCTGGACACCATTGGTTAGTGTCTCTTGCCATTTCCAAAACATGAAGAAATGGTTATGTAACCTTAACCTTTTTTCCTTATATGTACTCTACATTATATATATACGTTCTGTACATATTGGGTACTCGGTGATTTTACATCTAGAAACCCTAGATAAAACCCTAACAGATATTTATAATAATATATAGCATCTTTGAAAGAAGAGAGACTTTCCAATTATTTTGTGTGTGTGTACAGTATGATGCAGAGGATGATAAGAGCATACCGAATGATGCCAAGGTTGCCATGCTGATACAGTTCCATCGTCACATATGCGACCGTGGCTGGCACTTCTCATGCATGTCTCATGATGATGAGTTCTTTGTTATATTGCATATATATATATCGTCGTTCTCGTCATTTGAACCTTTTTTGGTTTGCTTAGGTGGTACGAAGGACGACAAGGTTCTGATGGATCAATTCCACCATGTCTCAGCAGCCTCTATTTTCATGTTTGGTCAATTTACGTATTGAATCGGTCCAAGCTTCATTTAGATTCCTAATGTTTATTTTTTTGGTTCTGTCCCCTAACGTAGTTTTGTCGTATGTATGTAATAAAAGGTATCAAGAGGCTATAGAGGATACCACTCTAAGAATGGGTGCGGGAATGGCCAAGTTCCTTTGCAACGAGGTTCGTGATTACCTCGAGGACATCAACGAGATTCCGAAGCCACGCATGTTTTGGCCGCGCCGGATATGGGGCAAATATATCGACAGGCCTGAGGTGCGTATGCTTCACTTTCAATCTCTAATCTGAGATCCGTTGAAAAACTCGTTGAAATATTTCAACTGCTCTAATCCGTTGCAGATGGCCATTGTCTCTGCATATCCCAAAGCAAACCGACAGACGGTACAACCAATGTAAAATGTCATCTCTCTCTGCTTTTGTGGCAGAAGATCGACGATTCAGGGTATCGGATGGATTACCAATGAGTTGAGTAACTGGACTGTAGTTGTAATACGAAGAAGATAGCATCAAATGATGAAAAACCATACCATTACCATCTTTGAGTGTATTCATCTTACAAAATTCATTCATATAATGATATAACATGTAAACCAACAGTGACATGGAACTACAAAGTGTAAGAAAAATTTAGTATCTGTGTAAGTCCAAGGTTTAGGAAAAATGCCACAAAAAAAAAAAATGGACGAACAACAAAGTGTATTCACATGTGAATAAGAGAGGTTATGCCAAAAGACTGTGCTTTTTGCCTTTTACTTCTGTCTCTTTGTCTTTTTTTTTTCCTACAAGAAACATGAAAAACACAAAGGAAACTGATGATCCTCCAAAATCTCAAAAGACTTCAGCCACTTTGCTAGCAAGAACACGTTCCCGTCTTTCGATGTATTCGTAAGGGAACCACCCGGCTTTCCCTTTGCACTCTCCTTCAGCCCACCCGCTGCTTGTCACCTGACCAAATCACGGGGACCGTTTAACGGAAAAAGAGCAGTCCCTTTTTTTTAACTACAGGAGACTAGGTTATATCGTATCCGGGTTTTCCAGCAAACCTTTCTGACAACAATGTAGTCACCGGCCGATAGACTGAGCTCGACATTGGTCACGCCTTGATACGGGAACAAGACCTGAAAATTGGGGAAATGACGATTTGATGAAACACGTAACGAGAAAGAAACAAAAAGGAACCGAGTGGTGCATATATCTTCACTCTGAGTTAATCAGAGCCTGCCACGACATTCAATAAATCATCAACTTACCATATCTTTTTTTTAAAGAACTTTAATGCCATTTTTCTTACACGACAATCTTGTAATAATCCGCTAGATAAAGGCAACAATCATTAGAAAACATCTAGAAGAAGAGCAAACCTCTCCTAGGAAGTAACCCATGCTATCTGTGGATGTGTCTTGCGTATGAGATGCATACACTCCATTATTAGCTTCCTCGTACGATGGAGGAGGTGGTGTATTATCTGCACTTGAGGGCGTAGAAGGGGCTTCAATACGTTGCCTCTCAGATACCATCTGCGGGTGAGAAAACAAACAACCAGTTTTGCTGTTACTTGACTAACAAATCTAACCAATGATTAATGATTTCGATCCGAACAATAGAAGTGCAGAAAAAAAAGTTGAAGAAGCTTAATGCTATGGAGACTGGCCTCATTTTCAAGCTGATCAAGTATTTGGAGGACCCTTTGATGGTAAGCACGTTCAGCTTCAACCTAAAGAGAATAAGAGTGAACGGTATATAGTGGTCTCGTTGCTGATTACAGAAAATATGGATAAGCAAATTATAAACCTTACACCAAAATAAAGATCAAGAACAACCATACTACCATTGCTACGAGTCGCTGAAGAGTCAATCTCTGTTGTTGAGCTTCAACAGCAGCCAAAGCAGCAGCAGCCTCTTTCCCCAGTATTGTCATATTCGATTTAAGGTCTTGAAGTTTTGCTTCAGCAGATTCCAGTTTCATCAAGGCATCAGGATTTCCCTGCGATTCCCTCGCCTTGGCTTGGCGTCTCGCAACTTCAGTAGCCTGTTCGAGTTCAAAGAGAAAGTAGAAGTAGAAGACAGTTATATGCTAACTAAAATTCAGCAGCTAATTCTACAACTAGAAAGAAAGCTAGATTTTTCTAGCAGAGCAGATAATATGTTATATATGATATAAAACTGCTTCCTAACAATCTTTTCTGGTACCTGAGCTTCAGCTTCTTGACGTAATCTGTCATAACGCTGAGCAAGATGTCTTGCATCCTCCAATGGTGCTCCCAACACCATTGCCCTTAATGGCTCAGCGACCTAATGATTTCAGAATTAAACACGATACCAAAGAAGTCAATAGAGAAACCAAACCATGATAAAAGAAATAACCTCAGGAACTTCATGACACTAGCTCAGATCTGGAAGTATTAGATACATGATAAGAAACATATGTTAGCATAGAAGTAAAATTAGTTTTCCTCACATGACAGCTCCCCTCCCCTCAATATGTCTCTCTGTCTGAATGTTATTTGACACGTACACGATATGAATTGGGCAGAGAAGTTCAAATATTTTATGGATTTTTGTCACCACATTTTTAAAGACTTTTCTTTTCTGAAAAAAATGAACCAAACGACCAACCTGTGTACCAAGAGCTTTCAACATATTTCCACGTTCTTTCTCCATCTGTGCCCGAGCACGTCCATAGTTCAATGCAGCCCTAGATAATGCATTACCATTTGTACATGTACTCTCAGAACCATATTTCCTGCTATCCTCAGATAATTTTGTTCCTGTTTAACCAAACGTACACATGGAAGGTCACCTCCAGTCTGTAACAGTCATCATAACCAACTGAAGAATAACACTAAAGGGACATCAAATCACCTATTTCCACTTGTTTGGACCCAGTCACTATATATCCTTCCACACCACGGACAATATCTCTTTGATAATGCTGAAAAGGGACAACTTTCATGAGATTACACCCAATTGATAGCAAACATGCAAACTGATGAAAGGTTAAAAACCTTAGCAGCACGTGTAGATATGTAAAGCTTTTCTAGTTTATGATGCTGCTGGAGTTCTGCCTCATCGGTTATAACAGAGTCAGACCCACCATATCCACCTCCTCCAAACTGCTTGAGGACAGCCTTAACAGTTACATAAAACAGAGTCAGTGTACTTATCAACCTCAATGCCTGTTAAAAACACTCAAGGCTCCCATATCTTTGAACTTATAGCTAACTAAACTACACAATTTTGGAGATATGAAATATATACAATGTTGATCCCAAAGTCAAGTTTTGATGGTTAAAATAAAGCCCCACTATTAATCTGTGAAGAATTTACACCAAAACATCAGACAAAAAGTCGATTATGCGCTATGTTCACCATGATTGTAGAGTAACCGGAAAGCTCATCTAATATGCATATTCATTAGATTGCAAGGAAACAGTTTTCATAGTCCTCACTCAACCGCCGAAGATGCTAATCCACGACCAACGAATGCAAGACCTCGCAGCTGATAACGGAACAGATATAAGCCAACAAACATGTCTATGCACCACAAATCCACAATTCATCAGCCACGTTTGAGTTTACCTTATCACAGGACATCATGCAATCATTCAGTTTCTACAAGATCCAATTAATGTCCAATTTTCTGCTATCGGATCGAAACTCTCACAGATCAGAAGAAAAAAAGTGTCAAAACATAATTTTGTCCAAGCATAACCGAATATAGATTTCACTCTGATCGCTAAAAAGGTATTCGTAATAACAATTTGTTCGAACAAAAACCCTAATTCACTTTCAGATCCAAGTTCTCGTAAGGCTTCCATAACAAGAGATTGATTGAAATAAGAAGGCAAAGCTAACAAAAAGTCGAACAATTGTCGATCAGAACAACATGATCTACCAGAAACAAACGTGAATTGCCAGAATCACCAGATAAGACAACGAAATCAGGAACAGGATCCGAAAATCTAAATGGGATCTTAACGAAAGAGGCAAAAGGATTCTGATTTCACCTGTTGCTGCCTCGCGACTTGTTCCCTGAGCCTCGTCGCTTGTTTCCTTATGGCTTCCATTCCACCTGATCGAATTTCTACTTCTTATTCCTCTTCTTCTTCTTCGATTTCCTCGAAGAACTTTGCGGGAGAGAGATTTGAAATCGGAAATGGCGTCGAGCTCTGCAAAATTCCTGCTTCCGATTTTTCTTTTGGTGGCAACCGAGGAATAGAGAATGGAGTCAGAGACTCTGCCCGAGAAAGAAGGTTCCGTGTTAGAGTTGTGTCAATAAGATTGATGCGAATGATTCAACATTAGGTGTTTTTCCTCCATTACACGTATTTGAATGATGTGTACGAAAAAAATATAATAATTAGTGCTAAAAATAAAATTAGTCGATCATAAATAAAGTATAATACTAATTAAGTCTTTAAATACAATTTTAATCAACCATTAATTAAGTGTTAAAATAAGAAACGGGGAGAGACAGAGAGCTGGCTCAGCTGAGGAGGCATGGATTATGCAAATCGCAGCCATACGGGGACCCACAGTATTGAAGCAATCATTAGCTCCACTCTCTGCCACGTGTACTCCTCTTCATTTTGAATTCTGTGCATCTTTTTAAAAAAAAATAAAAAATGAAAATTTCTTTTCATTTTAAATTAAATCTTATGAGTTTCAGTTGTAATTACGTGTGATTTTATACTGCTTAGTTTTGCACAGAATGTGACATTATTCATTACCAACTATCTATATCTAAATGCTTTTAGAGATTATTAAAAATTTAAGCAAATATGTAAAAATTATAGTTGGAATGTTTGCATTTTATTTTTGTTTTGAAAAAGGTTACGTGATAGGTTGAAGGTTCAGTGAAATTTCTATTTATATAATAAAAAGAAGTTATGGCGATAGACATATACATATGACATATCTTTCTGTTAACATGTTGGAAAAAAATTATAAATTAAGGTTGGGTTATTATTAATTAAATCAAATTTTAGGTTATGTCTTCTGTAGAACTACAGTTATTATTCGATTCTAATAAATTAATAAACTCAGTTGGATTTAAACTATTAATTTTCAGGAGCATATTTCTCATATGGGTTCAAGATATTATACTAATTTTAACATTAAGTAACAATAAACTCAGTGCTTATATATCAATATATAATTTTATTTCCGTATGTGCATGTTTTTAACTTGATTGAGCTAATATTTGGTTGCATTATGTGTGTGTGTATATATATGATTTTATCCTCTCGTCTCGTGTGTTTGATGGTTCGGTTCGGTGCACCCAACATGTAGTAGTGAATCGTCAACCCTTTTGACAAGACGAGCTGATTTGGGCCGTGACATGGAGCACGATGTAACATTTCTCATTATATATATATATATATATATATATATATATTTATACGTATAATATGAAAATGGACTTATCAATTATGACGACCACAAGGATAAGACCCACGAAACGTCCACGTACAAAAGTTATGGTCGAGCCGTTTAGGTCCAATGCCTAATTGAGAACGGGCGAAAATATGTTATAAAATGTAAAAATATATATATAGTTTTCATTTGATTTCACGAATTCAATCTAACCCGAATACAATCTAAATGCATGAACAATCTGTTCTCAAAATCGGGTATTCGAATTCATGTTTAGATGGGAATAGTAAATATATTTCTATTTATATTCCGATGTATGATACTGTAATTTTCAATATTTTAATGATACATAAATATCGTGGAAAAGTTACAAAATAGACTTAAATTTATATAAACAAATACAAATAATTTCAGATAAATGATAGTTGGTTCGATTATAATTTTGTTTTAATCCACCTAATCATCATATTGATTTTGAAGGGGCAAAAAGTTTATGATTTTGTAAAATAATTCGAACAATTTTATAACTTTTCCTTCATAACCAAAAGACGATAACCCATATTATAACATAGATGATATCGCCAAAAAAACCCCATACTCTTTCCAGATCAACGGAAAAACCCTGTATTTTTTTATTTACCAATTAAACCCTGTATTTGGTGTGATTAACCCATAAAACCTAAAATTTTTTAAAAATTCGCCGAAAACCCCTCATGTCTGCCAACTCAAACGAAAATGATGATGTGTGCATGACTTGCTTCCAAGTCATGCACACATCATCATTTTCAAATAAAATTTAAATTAAATAATTTATTGAAATTAATATATGCATATATATTCATATATATATATATATATATATATATATTAAAAATAAAATTATTTGTAATTAATAAAATACATATACACATAACTACAATATATATATATATATTATAACTAATATATATATATTTACATAAAAAAATATAATTAATTTTATATACATACATAATATACATATTAAAATAAAAATAATAACTAACATATATACATATAATATATATGAAAAAGAATATATATATGTATATATATTAGTTATACATACCATATATACATATACAATTAATTCTATCGTTCGGACGTTGACGCAATTATGCCATCACCACAATCACAATCATATCCCATATGGGTGACATCCGACCTGAATCGGATGGCCCATGGATGAGATTCAATCTTGCAAACATCGTGCAATCATTCACAAACGTCCGTTTCTACAATCATGCGCTAAATGTTAATCCGAACCCTTTTCGAATCAACGTTAACGACATGCCAGCTACCCCAATCACACACATTTATATAGTTATTTTACTATACATGCATTTTCGCTTGCGTAGTCTTTTATATTCATTTATATATTTTGGGAAAATCGCCAAAAAAACCATGTACTCTTCCCAGGTCAACGAAAAAAACCTGTACTTTTTTGCTTACCAATTAAACCCTGTACTTAGTGTGATCAACCGATAAAACTCCGAATTTTTTAAAAATTCACCGAAAACGTCCCGCATCTGCCAACTCAAACAAAAATGATGATGTGGCAATGACATGGCTTCCAAGTCATGCACACATCATCATAATTATGCCACATCATCATTTCAAACAAAATTTAAATTAAATAAATAAATAAAATTAATATATATATAAATTCACATATATATATATATATATACATATTAAAAATAAAATTATTCGTAATTAATAAAACATATATACACATAACTATAACATATATGTATATTATAGCTAATACATACATATTAAAATAAAAGTAATTATAATTAATTTTATACATATTAAAATAAAATTATAACTAACATATATACATATAATATACATTAAAAATAATATGTATATGTATATATATATTAGTTATATATACAACATATATATATACAACTAATATGCATATTAAAATAAAAATAATTATAACTAATATATATAATATATATTAAAAATAATATATATTATTTATAATATATATTGTGTATATATATATTGTAGATATGTATGTGTGTTTTATTAGTTATAAGTATTTTTATATTTAATATATATATATATGTGTGAATTTGTATGTATATATATTAATTTAAATAAATTACTTAATTTAAATTTTATTTGAAAATGATGATGTGTGCATGATTTGGAAGCCATGTCATTGTCACATCATCATTTTTGTTTGGGTTGACAGACGCGGAGTTTTGACAAATTTTTTAAAAGTTTGGGGTTTTATGGGTTAATCACACCAAGCACATGGTTTAATTGGTAAGCAAAAAAGTATAGTGTTTTTTCGTTGATCTGAGAAGAGTACGAGATTTTTTTGGCGATTTCCCCTATAACATAAAATACTCATTCATCATGAAGACATCATATTCTAGATAAATTTAGATTTTGTGGAATGGGTATATTACCAAATGGACAAACAAATAAAGCTAAAATCAATTGTAAAGAGCCAAAGCTTTTAATATATAAATATTTTAATAACATATGTGATGTGTGAGCATTGAAGGCTCTATTTCTATAATCCTATTGATTTTTTTTGATAACATAATCCTATTGATTCAACACAACCAAACATTAATTAATTAATTGAAGATCCAAAAGAGTAGCACAATCTTGAAATTTTAGGGATTCATGATTTTACACCAAAATTGTGAGTGGGAAAAAGGTAGGAAAGCATGATTCTGATTGTACAAATTTAGGTATTAATTAAGAAATATTATGTTATATTCTATAGTATTTCTTTCATAAATTTAAAAAAAAAAGCTTTTAAATAAATGAATAAAAAGGATAAGACCATTAACTATGAAAGCCCACGAGTCTGTTTTTTTTTACCCCACAATACTCGAAGACTTTTATTTCAGCGCCTTTGGGTCTTTGCCCATCAAGAAGCTCTCTCTCTCTCTCTCTCTCTCTCTCTCTCTCTCTTTTGCTTTCTTCATCCTTTTTTTTTTTTTGGTTTTCATCTTCTTCGTTAGATACACAAGTATGCATATAAGCACCGCCCAAAGATCTCTCCTTTTTCTTGTTTCTTGCAGGAAAAAAAGTTGCAATAATTCGGCTTTTGCGATGGCTTTTTATACGCAATACAACACTTTGTAGATAGGAAAGTTGGGAAATTTACCCAATCTTTCAGAAACTTGTGCTTTAGATTTGGAAGTGGATACACATACAAATGTTTCTTGCTATATAGCCTTTAGGAATAGAGAAAAAGTTTTGACCCTTTGGACACAAACTCTGTGGAAGAGAGAATTATGATGGAGAAGTGGACGGAAGCAAGAGCCTTGAAGCCAAGCCTTATCAGAGGTGAACCAACTACGGCGAAGCCACCGCAATCTGCGGTGTCTGATGAGTTGCTGAGCCGAGTTTCGTCTGTTGAAGATTTCTCTGTCGAGTGTTTTCTCGACTTGTCCGAAGAAGAAGACGACCTCCTTGTTCATGAAGGTGTTGATGATGATGATGATGATGACGATGACGAAGGACAAGAACTGGTTTCTCTATGCTCTTCACAGGAGGAACAAGCAGAATCTGAGCCTTTCCTCTTGGATCAATGGCCTATTCCGGTAAAAACCCATCTTCCTTTTCTCGTTTCCCTGATTGTCCTTCGCTTCTTTGTCGGTTTTCTGACCAAAATATCTGAAATTCTTGGGACAGGAAGAGGACATGGCAGAGCTTGAATGGGTATCTCGTGTTATGGATGATGATTACTCTTCCCTAATCTTCACCGAAAGAAAACCCCAAGAAGCAGGACGAAGATGGGATCATCACAGTAGAAAACCATGTTTCTCGTTTAGGGTTCCGGTTAAACCGAGATCCAAACGGTCTCGGAATGGAAAAACCCGTCAACCCATTTGGCCATTCCTTAAACCCAGACCGACGAAACAGCCAGAGTCCATGTTCCAAAGAAGGTGCAGTCACTGCGGAGCTAACAGCACGCCGCAATGGAGAACAGGTCCGCTCGGTCCGAAGACTCTGTGCAACGCTTGTGGCGTGCGGTACAAGTCAGGTCGGCTTTGCAGAGAGTATAGACCAGCTTGTAGCCCGACATTCTCAAGTGGGATTCACTCGAACGTTCATAGGAAGGTTCTGGAACTGAGGAAGATGAATGAGTCATCTGCTAACCAGACCGAGTCAAACTCGGCAGGTGGAGGAGCTACTCTTAGGTAGACCTAATCAACCCCCACTTTTTTTTTTTTTTTAAATGTAGTGATGTACAACTTGCTATCAAGATTTTTGAAGTGGTCTTGAAAATGATGTAAGTTTTTTTTTTTTTAAAAAAAATTGCTTTAAGCATACTTTGTAAGTGGGAAAAATGCATGGTTTATGTGGAAGCAGCCATGTCCATCAATAATTTGTGACCATGTGAAGTGGCTCATGACTATAAATATCACATAAAATTGACAAATTCATGCAAATGCTTTTCAAAGCAAATTAGCAAAGAGAAAGACCTCATATCACTTTGTAAGAAAATAAATACAATGAAGAGAGAGAAAAAAAAAAAGATCCTAAACGCCTCGAACTGCCCACAATGATACCACCTGGGCAAGAAACTCTTAAGCCGATCACCACCTGAAATACTATGCAGCCATCTATCAAATTTAACAAGCAAAATATTGGCTTATCTGAATTTGGACTAGACACATATTTCACATTATTAGCAATATGCCGATATCACATACCATTTAAGGTTAACAAGCATAGAATCTTTATCCCTACCATAATAGCCCACACTACAAAAAAAAATTATTAAAAGATGATTAGATATCCTGATAATGGTGAAAAGGGGTTATAGTGAACCAAAAAAAAAGGACTGAGATGCTGTACACTGAAATGGGTTTAAACCCTTCCTAAAACCTGTAAACCCTGGTTCATACAGACACTAAGCCTGATGACTTTAGTTATGGAACAAGAAAGAAGCTGAGGACTTGGTTATGGATCCTACAGTATCCGTTTCCTCTGAAAAACTTGCATACTCTCTGCCCACCCGACCAAGACTGTCTGTTCCAACCATAACCCGAATCTCCTCCTTCCCTCTGGTTCCCAAACCTGTCTCCATTCTGGTTCTGTTGGTTTCCCCATAACGCACCTGGCCCATTTGGGATCGACCTTGACTGTGAGAACCCCAGTTTGGATTTCCAGTAACTGGTTGCATCCAACCCGAGCCAGTGTTTCCGGGAACTCGAGCTTGAGCTTGAGCTTGGCCAGTCATACCCCACCCGGGGTTTGGATACGCTTGGGGTGGCCCTTGACTAGGCCCTCCCCAACCGGAGTCTTGGGAATGGAAGACCCCCAGTTCATGTTCGTTCCACCCCATCCCATGTTCGGATTTGCAGGCATCTGGCGCTGCGTTTGTGCCACGTTTTGGTTGCTATTCATCATGTTCATACCCGAAAATAGATTTGGTGGTGGCCCATCACGTTTTGGTTGCCACGTTTTGGTTGCTATTAATCATGTTCATACCATGAATCAGATGGTGGAAACCCGGATTGAACCTGGGCGAATGGGAAGACACCCGGAGTTACAGCCTTGACGGATGGGGAGGGACTCTGGGAAGAAGATGGAGCATCAGCCCTGTGTCCATGGGATGGAATCTGAGTAGAACTACCAGAATCTAATTTCTTGGTTTGCATGCATCCCTGTCCCTGTATCACGCCAGTTGGTGCCTAAAATGGAAGAGCCACAGCAGAACCAAGATGACTAATCGAGACATTCGTTGAATCTGTGGACGGAAGCGTGTGGAGGCTGGCTGGTCGAACGCTGCTGGAACTTATAACCATGGGGACATCTGGTTTGGAAGCTGAGCTCGGACAAGATTGCGGAACAGAAGAATTTGTCAACTGGACAGTCGGTTATACAGATGCCTGAGCAGGAGTCGGGGACCATCGGCTCTCATAATTTTGCCTCCTTGCAGCGGTTGTTGGAGTCGTGGCCTGATTTGGAGTAGGGGACAGAAGGTTTCTGCCCGAACTCCAAGTATCATGGGACTTCCTCAGGATTTCAATGGTTGATGGAGCAATTCGGGTGGTCGAGCTGAGTTCGGGTTCAGATTTCCATCCTCCTCCTCCAGATTGGCTCGAGGGACCTGAACTGAAGCTTTACCAGCATAAACAGTTGTCTGGGTTTGCTTCTGAAATCGCCCAGCTAATGCATCAGTCAGAAGAATGGAATCCGCTTGTGTTTCTGCTGTCTTCCAGATTTTCAAGTCGGCGGGAAAATACCCAGTGTTGTTCCATTTAGAGAGTTGCACCATTGAGAAAGGTCCTTGAAGTTTACCAGATGGGTCCTTTTAGTGCCACATTTTCTCTGATTCATTAATCTGGGGAACTGGTTCCAGCACAGCGGCAGTTGGAGGAGCAGGTAAAGATTCCGAGCCACCCTCGGAGACAACTCTGCTGTTGCTACATGACGGGAATTTCTGTAACCAGTCACAGACAGGGAAACAGATCTTGTCTTCTCAGAGATAGCAGGTTGTTGCATTTCTCTCTCTGCCTGAACTCCACAGATTTTCATTGGCCCTATCATCCGATCCACCAGGGTCCAGGATTATCCCCTCTACTAGGAAAGCCTCTACCCCACAGGTTTCTGCTTAATTCACGGTTCCCGCTTACATAGTTTATGGTGCCACCCCATGAATCACTTGAACCATATGTTCCCCTTCGTGGAGATATGGGTTCCCTTCCTCTCCTGTTAAAGCTACTGCTACGCGGCCCAGAAATTTTCCTACATGAATCCAATATGTCAAAACAATGAAAGTGTTAAAAAAAAAGGAACATAAGCCAGAGATAATGAATACAACAAACTCTTAAGTTTTTGACAGACCTTTTTCCTTCTCTTCTTTCTCAACTTCATCTTCAGATTCACAATCTGGATCCATGCTAGGATCAACATATATCTCGGGAATTTCTTCTAACCTCCGTTGGCGTTCGTGTGGGGACTTCAGCACTTGCAATTTCTCGATGCATACTCGGAGTGTAATCATAATTAAGGAATACTCACGCAACTCGAAGGATCAAATAAGATGAAATTATTTGCTTCGAGCCACAAAATGGACATATTAGAAGCTTACACAAAGAGAAGAGCACAAAAAATCAATCACTAAAATAACAGAACTCTATAAAGATTCAATAGTAAAGGATATCCTTTTCTGCGACCCATATCACTTACACGATCACGCAAATGACTCAAACGCACAATCTCTCCATTTAGCAACTGCATTCGTGAAGAAAGAGAATTTTACAACACTGCCTTTGGACATTAAAATTATGCATATTGCTCAAATGTTTAAACGACCAGCGAGCTTTAGAACCCAGAACCCAAAACCCTAAATCATTTCGAAACTCTCTTTAAAAGAATGATAGAACTGAAGTCGCGTATATTCTCTAAAGAGATTATGCATTTATTGTGAACTCAAAATCAACACCTCCTGCAACAACATGAAAGATGCAACCAAAAACCAACTTACATTTTTAATTCTCACTTCCTGCAACGCTGTGGCCTCTTCTTGAATTCCACCCTGTAAGCAAATGACATTAGAATATGGAAAAGAGGCAAAATCACTTTGGTCGAAAGAACTGTGACGCAATCGAAACAATGAACATGAAGTGATATGAATCATAACACTGTCAGTCTGTTAATAAGCCCACATTTTATGCTCTGCCTGAGACGCTTGCATTCATCCTAACAGGAAGCAAGTAGTAAGACAAACACATGGCATTATCGCAAGAGGAAAAGAAAGGGATGTTCAGACATCGAGGGGAATATTACCTCGGTGAAATCTTGATTGGATATAATGTCGATAGATATTACTTCTGTTTTGTCAAGGTTCAATATAACAAGTACAAAGTCGATTGTTTTTTTGCCAACTTTATATGGCTCAGCAGCTTTGTTTGCGCCTGTTTTTCAAACAAAAGGATACAAACATCAGTGAGATTCTCTTTCACAGCAGATTAAATCCAAATATCTGTAACATGGGTGACAAAACATTACCAACAACTTGAACCAATCGGTATAAATCTTGCTTTTGATTGCCAGATATTCTTAACCTAACAAATGCTCCGGCTACTTTTTCTTGGAATGTCGTAATATCGTCAAGCAGATCCTCCACCAAGCTACGCCTCAAGTATATCAAATTGATGTTATGCATATCGATTGCTGCAAAATCATCCAGATTGGACTGACGTCCTTTACCGCCACCCTTTCTGTGTGCTTGGCGTTTCTTATCCTTTCCAGTTTTCGCTGGGTGATCCAAGCTTTCATCAACATCCACTTGATTAGCTTCTGTATCATTAACAGTATTTCGGAAGTCATCTGCATGAGATTCCTCCTTGATGAGAAAATGAGAATCGAGTAGATTTAACACCTCAAAGTCTCCTACATGCGACTTCCCAAACAGATTCTGAAGTCTGGAGTCGCAAATAACTTGGCTTTTCCGGCGAGGGTCACGGAGATTGTATCTTTTTATATACTCCAGTAGGAGACTATGTACTTTTGACTGAGGTAAGAAAGATCTATCCCCATGTCTCATGTGTATGACAACGTGCAAGAGTTCCTTGGAAACCCACTCACTCACCAGATGAACTTTTATCACTAGCTGATAGGATTTGTCCACCAGACTTTGATTGTCTCCTAGTCTTCCTCCTTTTTGGAGGACTAACTGAATCCGATCTTCCATCAACTGCACAAGTAATCTTGTTGGGAGTCTCTGTTTTAGTACCTTGAGTCCCATGCCCTTTCCAAGGGCTTTTAGCATGGTTGAGCTCCTCTAGAGTTAAAGATAGTTGTTGAGCTTTCAAATCAATCCAGTAATCCTTGAAGAGATATTCCCAGTTGCTTTTGTCATCAAAATCAAGTTGTGCCTACAATGAGACAACACAGAAGACAAATGAGATCAGAAAAGCAAGATTGCAAGTCATCCAGAAACAATGAATGCCGATCATCAGTTTTCATGAATTACCACCAGACCTATGCTTGATGTGACAAAGAGGAAAAACACATGAAATGATTCATGAGGCATTACAACGTATACATAACATATGTCTTTACAGTAGCACTTATATTAAGAATAATCTGCCTTTCCTGATGGCATGCCAATACATCGACATAGTTAAGGAAGAGAAAGAAAAGGTCAGCAGAAAAAGTATATCGAGAATACCGGCTCCTTCTTCTCTTGCTCCTTGCTTTCTATCAACCTGACTGTGTCCATACATGTTTCACATAAACCCTTATTGCCTCTCACACAAAAGAAAATAGCATCTTTGGCACACCCCTTGCATAACGAAAATGTGTGTAACATAGGTAGGTTGCAGTTTTCTCACATTTACTATAAGGTGCCATCCTATTCATGGAAATACAACACAAAGTTAGGTTCTACACAAAAGACTAGAGAATAGACCTTCAGGGATGACACCCTGAGGAATAATATTGGGAGAAACACATGCAAAAATTGAGAAAAGGCACACAAACTGTGAAAAATATGACATAACTCAAAGCTGAATGTCAATATCTATGAGTTGAAACAACAGACGTGATATCTTAAACTATCTTCAGTATCTTTGCTTGTGCAGTACCAACATGAGGGAGAATAGTAAGCCTAGAGGCTGTGCAATATTGTTTGTCTCTTCATCTCACTGGCATGGTTAGCATGTGCTACCAAAAAAACTGTCCTGAGCCATATCTAGAACTCAATGCAACAGGCAATGTTTCTAAGCAGAAATATCCTAAATGATATAGCATGATAGTGATGAAAATGAACCACATCTCCAAGCCAACCTCTAATGAAGTAATGAGAGGGAGAAACCCAAAGAACACACAGACAACACTGTTACAGAATTTACAAATTCGGATTGGAAATATACAGTTAAGAATATTCAAAATAAAAATAAGTGAAACCAGAGATTACATTACTTCTACTTGGTATGGATACTGAACAACATATAATGCAACTAAAAACCACTGCTGACTGGCTCTCAAAGACTCATGACTGAAATAAAAAGGGTGAGCATAGCCTTGACATCAACCAGACTTTTCCCATTCACTAACAATCCAATGGTTGCCATTGCCAAAGTTGCCTTGGGGAGTCGAACAACAGGCCTGACACTTGAGCAAGATTCGAATCAGGAACAAGAAACCAAATTGAAAATTTGAAAGCAAATATATAGAAATGCTTTAGCCAGAAGAAAATGACAATTGGTAACATCCTCAAATCTAAAACGAGGCTGCCCATCTGATCCAACCTTTCAACCAAGGGGCTCCTGCTAAAGGCAAGTAACTATCTGATTGAGGTAAAGACAAAAAAAAGATAGGGATGTATAAATGGTTTTCCAAATTTCTATATTACTCTCTAAGGACTCGAGCAAAGTTCCTCCACAAGAAAGTTTCAAACAAAGTTACCAAGAATCTCATCATCCATATAGCAAAGCAGCAAGAAACATATGCTTTTAAGGACCTTGGACAGTGATATAAAGACCCTAGAGAGAGCAAAATATATGGTAAACAACATCCATCATAATAAACCATAGAAAGAAATTGTGGGCTTGCCAAATAACTTTCAGATTATTCGTAAACTAATGAGCACACACTTAATTTAAGCTATTAAAGAAACAAAAGAATAACCGAGACTTACCACAGTTCCATTTACCCTTTGAACGGAAGAAAGCTTCATCTCGACCAACACAGGAAGGGTGGTAAGCTTTTGGGCATCCCCTGCAACCCAAAAGAAACAAGCATTAAAACAATAAAAAGTACCATCTGATAGAAACCAAAAAAGAAAAGAAAAGAAAGCAAACTACTTGCTTGAAGTCACAGAAACTACAACTGAAGTTCACCTGCGGTCGCAGAGAAAAAGTCCAACACCATCAAAGCAAATGAAAGAGACAACTTCCTCTTTCTTCTTTCCCGACTCTTTCAGGGGTGTTGAATTTCTCCGACGCTTCCTCTTTCCTCCAGTGCTCCTATTTTCTTCCTCAACATTATCTACTTCATCTGGCTCTTCCTCCCCTGTGTCAGCCATCACGGTCTCCTCCCGTGACTCAGTCATTTCCATATCATCCTGGTTGTCCCTCCCTTCTGATAAATCAGCTACAACGGAATCTCCATGTATTTCCATATCTTCTGTCTCATCAACCTCCTTCTGACCCTCATCTCCAATCCTTATATCAGTTTCTTCCTCAACTTCAGTATTCTTTGTTTCATCTACTTCAGCCACTTTTTCAGATGCTTCTACTACTTCTTCTCCTTCTTCGCCACCAGCAATCTCATGGCCTTCTTTCTCCATATCTGCTTCATTTTTTGAGTTCAATTCTACTTCTTCTGTAGAATCAGACACATGTGCGTCCAATTTACCAGCTTCCATATCCTTCTCAACCATCTTTTCCGCACCAACCATCACAGTTTCCTGGTCGTTTCCTTCTTCCCCAGTAAACTGAGCAATATCTGCGGACAGTTCACCCCCCCGGGGTTTCGGACATATTCACATCTTCTTTCTCCACAGCGTCGCCCTGCTGTTCTTCCTCCACTCTTTCACCACCTCCTGAGGCTTAATTTGAATCTCCAAAATAGGCACATCCTCCCTCTCCGCAGCAACAGCCTTATCTTCTTCTTCTTCCCTTTCTTCAATCTCAGTCTTGATTCCCCGACTACACTGACCATCAATAACATTTTCTTTGACATTTTATATCCTCTCTGGCCTCTCCATCCATCACATCCTTAACTTCTTCATCAACATATAACTCTTGTGATGGCTCTATCTCTTCGAATTGGCTTTCTAACTCCTGAACACTATCTCCTAACCCTTTATCCTGTGGAAGAATTTCTGTAAACCCAGCCACGTTAGTTAGCTCTTTATCATCAGGAATCTCTTTCTCATCTACAATATCAGCCAAGGGGGCAACTTGCCTAGTATCTTCCTCCGGCATTGCAGCCATCGCACTTGTTTCTTCGGACTCTGTTCTCGGAACCCCCTGGATCAACATCATGTCATTACCATCTTCACCAGCAGCAATTCCGCCGCACAGACTTTCTGACTTCAACCACCCGGACTAGACTTTTTTCTTCTCCATATGTACGTCTCCCCGAACAAAATCCTTTTCACCATCGAAGTTTGGCAAGTTAGCTGCCTCTGCATCCATTTCACCATCGAAGACGGTTCCGAAGGCGCAGCGCCAACGGAGATGGCAGCACCATCGCCGACAGGATCAGCGCAAGTATCCGAAGGATGCGATTCGTTTGAATCAAGAACACATTCAGACCCATTCACCGACTCCATCGAAGGTCTAGCGGAGTCAGTATTCAAAAACGAAGAAAGATTAGCTTCGTCTTCCATGGAATACGCCCATAAAGTAAAGGGGAAAATTTGAGAATACAGAGAATGGGAACAAGACAAATAGAGAAAAAGCTAAGGATCTGAAGCGTTTGGGGTTTTAACCCTAATAACTCACTTGGGTCGCAGCAATTTCAGGTACACCCCAGGAAAAAAGAAAAAAAAATTTCAATTTTAACCCACTTTTCGATTGAAAAAGTCCGAAATACCCTTTTCGTTTTATTTTTTGCGACCTTTTTGCGACTAACATATAACTGATATACAACTAAAATAAGACGGATAATTTTTTTTACCACATTTTTGTAACTATATTTAGAATTAATTACGAAGTCGTAATAACGAAGTTGTTTTCGAACGGATAAATATCGTGATTCATTAAGGGTAATTTCGTCTTTTTACGGAAAAAAAATGTGTTATGTTTTCGGTGGTTTACAGGTGAAATAGATGCGACACAAGTGGGTCATTTGAGTGATTTACCCGAAGCGTTTAGGGTTTTGGGGGAAATTTGTTTTTCATTTGGTGCCAGTCGCCGAGTGGATGGAACTGGAAGATTCATATAAGTTAGTATAGATAAAAACATAAATCCCTTCAAACTCCGTTGTAGTCTAGATGGTTAGGATACTCGGCTCTCACCCGAGAGACCCGGGTTCAAGTCCCGGCAACGGAATTTTTTTTCAACTTTTCCAATTATTTTATATTAAATAATCCATTATTTAATTTCTACCACCTTTTTTGTGTATTTAGTTTCTTTATAAGAAAAATGGTTTTAATAATTGATGATAAAAAGAAATGCAGATTAAATTGAAGTATCCAACGTATTAATCTTCAAAACTCTAGAAAACAATATTAATGAAGAAAAGTATATACTGTACATATAGTATTTGTGATTCTTTTTTCAAAAAACAATTAACAAAACCGATAATGCAAAAAAAAAATACAAAGTTCAGACGACCCATTTAGCAGCTTTATTGGGTTTTTTGTATTAATTTGGGCCTGTTAATGGGCCTACATTGCTACATGACGCAATGCCCATTAAAGGTGATTTGTTAAGATGGTTATCACTCAAATAAAAAAAAGGGAGATTAAAGATATTTGTCAAGTTTATCTGACCACTTACAACATCTGTTTTCGGCAACATCATTTGTATTTTTGGTTTAGCCCGGTTCGTATATGATTTGGTTATAATTTGTAATTGGAATATATATTTAGTTTATTTTTTCTTATAATAATTCTGTTGTTAATTTCTGGTTGGTGTAGTAAGTAGGTTTTAACATTGGTTTTCAGATTATTCATAATTTCGATAACCAACCGTATCTATATATATATATATACACACATGGCTTGTAAACTCTATCATCTTATCCGAATCTAGACTTCGATCACTTGGTGACAAGAATCTTTCAAGATTTTCCACCTCCTCACACGTGTCAAAAATCCGAAGCTACCACATTTGACTTCAACTTATTTTTTGTTCACAAAAAAAGTTGATTCCTTGATTCAAAGCAAAATCTCCTCTAGTGTATAAGATTCTATAGACTTTTAATTGTTCTTCTTCCTTCTTAAACAAACCAAGAATTGGAAACTGATCCACAAAATGTAAAAGGAGCAAAAACAGAACCTATTCATACATTTTTCGGAATAAAATATATAATTTGTATTTTAGATTCTCCTTACCTGTATTATACTCCCCCATTTCTAAATAAATATCGTTTTTTATAATTTAAAAAATATAAAAAATCAAATATATCCTTATTAAATCACATTCTCATTAATAGTCTATTAGTTAGATGTTTTTAATTAATGATAGAATTAAAATTTTGTCCGAAAAAGCATGTGAAAAAACTAAACCAACATTTGTTTAGTAACACAATTTTTTTTTAAATCTAAAATGATATATTTAGAATGGCATTATATCGAAAATATTCTCCATAAATTATTTTGACTTCAATTTATACTTTTTCTAGTTGTGACCACGTTACCAAATTAAATTATATTATGATCACATTGGTTATAACATTAAATTTATAATAATTTTATCAAATAATTAGTTTGATATATACAGGATAAACATGGTGAATTAGTGTGAACACCATAAATTTAAGGGGTAATCGCATAAAAATATCCGAACTTTTACAAAAATCCCAAATAAATACCCGAACTATAAAATTGTCATATAAATACCTGAACTTTTCAAAACTCCCACATAAATACCCAAACTTTTAAATTTTTTTCAAATCAAACAAACGCAACTGCTGACTCAGCAAAAAACTGCTGACTCAACAAAAAAAACTGTTGACTCAGCAAAAAACTGCTGACTTAGCATTCACAAATATTATTAATTATCCAAATATTCATCTACATATATTTAAATTAATATATGCATATAAATTCACATATATATACATATATATATATTAAAAACAAAATTATTTATAATTAATAAAACACATATACACATAACTACAATATATATATACATATATATATATCATTACTAATGCATATATATTAGATTAAAAATAATTATAATTAAATATATATATATTATATATATATTACTAAAAATAAAAATAATAATAATAATGTATTATTATTTTTAATAAGTATTTTAAAATAATAATAATGTATTATTATGTATATATAATTATAATTATTTTTAGTATATATATGGAGGATATTAGTGTGAATTAGTGTGATCACCATAAATTTAAAAAAGAGTGAATCTATGGAGGATATTTTTGATAATGGCCCTGGAGAGTATATGTGAGGTTTTTTAATAATTTTGCATGATTGCCAATAAGCAGACAGTAGATGAAAATAAAAGAGAGAGCCTCCTTGGAACACAACAAGTTGATATCCCGACGCCTCCCAAAAGGAGAAAATATTCGACATGAAAACATACACGCAAAGCATATTATAAAATTATATCATAAGATCCGTAAGTCTAATAACTTTGGCGTAAAATGAAAAATGATAAGACCGGAGAAGATGCTCTCATTTTCAGAATCTGTGTGGTCTCAGGAACCCACAAAACACAAAACATCTTTGGTTGTGATTTCACGGATTTCCAATCCATACGATAACTATTCTGAGTTTTGATTCGGTTTTATTATTTTCAAATATATTTCTTTATAAAATATATTTGCCTGATTTTTATATTGGATTTAGTTCAATTCAATCTACTTTCAGATTCGGTTTAAATTCAGAATTTTATCGATAAAAATATTGTCCGAAAAGAAATCAAAATTTTTAATCTATTTTAATATCCAGATTTTATTTGATTTTGGAAAAAATCGTATTGATGGATTCATCAATAAAAATATTTTTTCAAAAAAGAAATCACATTTTTATGTTTTTTTAATATCCAGTTCTGATCTCATTTGATTGTGGAGACAACCATATCAATGGATTTCGTTGCATCCACCCGTAATCCTAAATAAACCCTAACCCTAAACCCGGTCTTGGATCCTTCTCACATAAATGATCCCCCTTCATAGATTCACTCAAATTTCTTCAATCGATAGACAAAGTCGGTGCATTCATGCACCCATTAAAGCCACCAAATAAATAAATAAATACAAAAAGGAGGAGCTCACGAGAAACCGGAACAGTTCATTTAATGCAAAAATTAAATTAAATAAAACATAAAGCATGGATATTGGATACAGATAAAGATCCTAAATTTAATTATTAGGCTCCCTGCTCTTAAAACAGCGACTGGCGTAGTAAACGCTAGGGTTTTAGGGCAGGAAAGAACAACACCGCGAATTTCATGCAAAAACAAAACAATAACGATAAAACGTAACTAGAGATATGACAAACGGCCGAAGACAGACGCAAACGTGAACCGCCAATCCACCAGTTCTCATGCACCGCAGTCAGACCAGTTCTCGTCCACATCCTCGTCGCAGTCGCAGTAGCAGAACCCGAGGTTGTTGATCGCCGCGGTCAGAGAGCATGTCGTGGCCAACACATTCTCCGTCACGAGATACGGCATGTTCTCGAAACAACGCCCGAGTAATGCTGCGGCCACATTATCATCATCGCCGCAGTCGTTATTACCGAACTCGTCGGCTCGGTGCTTAAGGGTCTGGAACATGAGCTCGGGCTCGTGCTGCACTGTCCGGAGGACATCCGCACAGGACTGACCAGGCACGGCTCGAGTCACCGCAAAGCTGTGAGGACCATCGCTCTGCGTGACTCGAACCACGCTTGGCCCTCCGAATAAGTTATGGACTCCACCAAGAGCCTCCTCATAGGCCCCACCCAAGAACATTCCCAGATAATACCCCCCGCCATTGTTGTCGAGCTCGTGCAATGGCAAGCTAGAGTCACCGCCGATGAACTTGTTGATCTTCCCGTCGCTGTCACACGTTAAATCTGAGAGAATCCCTCTCGTTCCTGGCCTCTGATCGAGCTTATGAATGGGAACTATAGGAAACAACTGCTCGATCCCCCAGAAATCCGGGATTGAAGTGAACACGGATAGATTTACATGGTATGTTCCGACAGGATCCGATTCACCGATTTCCTTCGAGACCCATTCGCATAATCCATCAACAGCAGCTAATTGTTCTATACTCACCAATCCATCTTTGAACCCTTCAACACATCTCTGCTTCAACTGATCAACGTAAAGGAGACAGCTTTCGTACTCACCGCTAACGGCGGCTGAGTAGAGGTTCTGGTAATCGGTTCGAGCTTCCTCCAAGTGCCCATCGAGCAGGAACTGGAGATCGGTCTGTTCAACAGCGTGTCCGACCGAGCCAGTTGCAGAGACAGCTTCGAAAACCAACACAGAGTGATGGGACACTATAGCTCTGCCGCTCTCGCTGCAGATCACAGGGTGTTTCACCGATCTCCGGTCACAGACGAACCGGACAGTGGCGACGACAGCCGTGGCATACTCCTCGAGGCTGTAAGAAACAGAGAGATCGGATTCGCCAGACTTGGATCCATCGTAATCGATCCCCAAACCACCACCGATATCGATGACTCGCATGTGGGCACCGAGACGGACCAGTTCACAGAAAAGCTGCGCGGCTTCAGCCACGCCGTCGGAGAGAAGCGCCGTCGTAGGAATCTGCGACCCAATGTGAAAATGAAGGAGTTGGAGACAATCGAGCATACCCACTTGTTCGAGCTTCCTCACGACACGAACAATCTCTGTCGTGGTCAATCCGAATTTGCCCTTCTCACCAGAAGTCGAACCGAAATGACCCGAGTGCTTAGTTCTCAGCTTTGCACGAATTCCAATCACAGGCCTCACATTCATTTTTGCGCTCCGATCGATGACCAGATCGAGCTCTTCTTCTTGCTCAAGCACAATCACAGTGTTCAAGCCCAGTTTCAAACCAAGCAGAGCCAATGATATGTATTCAGAGTCTTTGAAGCCATTGCAGACAAGAAAAGCTTCGGGGTTACCTTTGCAGAGGCAGCTCATTGCGAGGAGGATTTCGGGTTTCGACCCAGCTTCGAGCCCGAAACGGAACGGCGACCCGAACTCGACGATGTCCTCGACCACGAATCGATCCTGGTTACATTTCACTGGATACACACCTTGGTAATGAGATTCATAGCTCTGAGACAGGATCGCGAAATCGAACGCCGACTGGAGACACTCAAGCCTGTTCTTCAGGACGTCCGGAAACCGGACGACAAGTGGGAGCTGGAGACCGAGACCGCCAGAGGATTTGGGATCGGTAACCTTCTTCACGATCTTCAACAGATCGATCTCCTGGTGAGGTAAAGTTTCGGAGCCATGGGGACGAACAGAGATGTTACCGGAGGAATTGATGGTGAAGTACGGAGCGCCCCACCCGTCGATACGGTAGAGCGAGGAGGAGAGCGACGGCGACCAATGACAGGACCCGTCGGTGGCGACGGCGGCGGCGGCGGGAGAGGACAACGGAAAGGAGACGCCGCCGGTGGGATGGGAGTTGTCCCCGGAGAAGGCGTACCCGGGAGGCGCGACGGCAGCATCTACGCAAGCCAGGGACGGCATCCTCTTCTCCACTTCAGCAACGGATCAGAAATCTACTTACAGAGGAATTTTCGACTAAACCCAGATTAAAAAACAAAGAATCTGGTCAAGAAAACGCAAAAAATAAGAATTGATGGAAAAAAATTTAGATTCCAGAGATTGTGCAGGTGGGGGCTTTGAAACCCGCCGAGGCCGGAGCCCCGGCAACCCCCTCAAAAGAAGCAGAAGATGAATCTATCTCCGCCGTGAAAACCCCCTCTCACAACCCGACCCAACCCGAGAATCCCCACGCCGACCCTTCAGGAGAATCTCAACAAATTTTTGGAACCCAACAAAAAACAATCCTCAAAACTAATCAAAACTACGCCCAGAGTGATCCCATCAACATTCAGAAATGGGGAGAATTTGAAGGAGAAAAGAGAGAATTTATAGGAAAACGCAGGAAAAAAGGTAGGGATTGAAAGAGTGGCGTGGTCGGAGGAGAAGGTGATGAAAGGTGGAGGTTGCATGAAGGGAAAATGCATCCTTATATAGGAGGAGGGAGTTTGAGGTGAAGACGGGTGATGTTGGACTTGGGCCGTGGGGCCCATTTCATTTTTTCCTCGTTTTTTTTTTCTTTATATACACATATATAACATATACTAAATTTCTCCCCGGTTTTATTTTATATTCCTACATAATATGACCAAAAAAAAAAACAAATACCAACATGAGACTGATGGATAATTTATGTAATTTACTATTTTTAAGATTTTATTATTTTTGCACTCGAATAACCATGGATATATAATATATTTACGTAATTAATGACCTTAAAGTTGCACATGTGCAATTGAATTTTTGTTTCTTATTTTATCCCCTATATAATTAAATCAGGCGTCGTGAACGTGATTCATTCAGTAATCAAATGGCATTTAGGAATTGTTATTGGAAATAAATTTCGCAGTTTATATTTGAATAAGTTTTGAACCGAACGCTCATTGGAGACATGGAAATAAAGACAACTGCAAATTGCACGAAATTTTTTTGTTGTGAATTTTTTTTCAATCATTATTAATTAGAATATGTGGATAAATCAATAATGTGAATTAATTCAATCTGTAAATTTATAAACTCGAAACTATAAACTAAACAATTTAAAATAGTAGTACTATATATAAATACCACGTAGGATGTAGAAGTTGATGCGCATTAAACTCAATCGTTAATTAATAATTTATAATATCGAAACTATCAACCACAAAATATAAGATATAAATGCCACTTGATGCATGAGTTTTTATCCTATGGATTTTAGAATAATATTCGTGAATTTCTATTTAAAAAATATATATCGATTATTAAATTTTTTAATATAGTATTTTCTAAAATTATTCTATTAATTTTGTTTTTACGATAGATTTCCCAAAATTAATTCGGAATGGTTTTTTCTTTGACGGTCGATGGTCCATTCAAATTTTGTGTAAAATGAAGTAAATTTCAAAATGTTGGTTAAATATACTTTTATATTAAGTGTGTTATTTTTTGGTAAAATATAATAAGTGTATTATTGTAAGAATATTACTGATTTTCGTGGCATTTATTTGATACAATTGACTCCGCATGTGTAATGGCAACTTCACAATAATTACATATTTAGATTCTTCCAAAAACAAAGACGTACGAATAATTTTCAATGTTAGTAGTAGTCTATATGCATACCTAAAAGGTTGAATATTCGTAATAAATGATAAAAATCCATGGAATATCCAAAAATCGAAAACGCGTTGACGGCAGTAAACGGACGTTTACTCGACGCGGACGGTACACGCACAGTCCTCAATGGCTGTCATAAATCACAAAATCCCATTGAATTGGTAAAAATAAATAATAATTATTTTAATATTATTATTCCGAAACTATTCTTTTTTCTAAAGGAAAAATATTAGCATTATTCCTTACTATCATCATACGGATGTTATTTCACGTATCTTTTATTTATTTGGATGTTCTCATATAGTGTACATGAAGACATTCTGCATGCAAGGTTATTCACGCGTATATATATTCAAATATATTTTTTAAGATATGGGAAATTGGTGGCATAAAATCGTAATATATTAACTATTAGAAAATTTTCTCACATTATATAACTATGTAACTATTATTAAATTAGGTTAAGGTTAGGGTAGCAAAACCGTGAAACACTAGAAAATTCTAGATGATTAAATAAGAAATATGGTTAACATATCGAGAGATTGGGAGTTCGACTCTTTATTCGTTTATTTATCGTCCGTCAATTACAATTGATTTACCTTCTATGTATGTGTCGCGTGCTCATGCATCACGTTGAGGTTTCCACGATATAAAAAATTGTGGAAATACAAAGTTATCGAGTTATTGAACATCATCCAAAGATGTTTTTTACACAAAAAAATATATATATTATAAATTCAACTTTTAAATTTAATAGTTTTTGAGACGAGAAGGATCTAAGGATTAATAAAAACAAAACTGGACCATTGTGCATTTGGGCCTTAATAGTTTATGAGATTTCGCATGTGGATAACATGGGCATGAGTGCACCACGTTATTTGTTATGAAATGGACCTTGCCACATAATGTAACATAGAAATTGGACCATTTCTTGCTGTAAGGATCATGACCCGTTGTTAACAGGTTTATCATGTTTCAAAAAAAAAAAAAAAAAAAAACCTTCCATCGTTTTTGCTGCACGTTTTTTTGGTTACGAATGGATACTTTCACCTACACAAATACGCAATTCAGTGTATGTGCATGCAGGCACGTGATTGTTATTTTTGTTTAATAATATGTTAATTCATCGCTTAATGACTTGGGGATTTCGTGGTGTCGGAAGCGAAAAAAAATAATGTTGGGCCCGGGCTCGGGCCCAAATAACAGATCCAACCCAGCCCAAGTTGTTAACCTTATTCTCTGATACAAATAAAATAAAATAAAACATAGTCCGAAATGTTTTCTTTTTGGGGGCTCATGAAACCATTTCAAGAGGTCTTTCGGGTTCTAATCTGAACGCAAACGCGAACGCAAACGCGAACGCGAACGCATGGGAGTTATGTGCAAAGACACAAAAACAAACATGAGGAGGCTTTTGCTTTGTGTGTGTTGTTGTCTGTAGAAGACAGTTCAGTAGAAGAAAGGAAAAATGGCGCGCCTCTTCTCCGGGTAATTCTCGAACTTCCGGTGATACCACCGGTGCGTTTCTCCGGCGGCTATCGTCAGATTCGCAACCTGCGGAAAAAGAAACCCGACAAATCTAATGAACTTCACGGCGAAATCCAACGAAGCGATGGAGAGGAGAAGGGTGTAGTATGATACCACAAATCCGAAGAGTAACCAAACGTTTATATCTCTTCCCCCACTCGCGATCACAAAACTCGAGTATAAAACCTGCGTTTTCGAGGGCTCGTTAGCAAAGTTTCGAGGAAAAGATGAGATTTTCACGGCAAATGAGCCTTACAATTTCCGCCAAGTAATGAGGAGAAGAGACGATCTCAAACCAATCTCCATGGGGAATCACATACTCGTTGCCTTGATCCGAACGCTCCCGAAGCGATCCCTGCAAGCATTTACGGGTTTTACATGATATTTTTCGCAAAATGCAGTAGCTTAACGGTCTGGACTTACGAGAATCGAATGGCAGGAGCGTTGATGTGACCATCCCCAGAAAAAAACAGCAGCACCGAACCATTGGAGCCACCCGAGTTTCATCAGAGGGTTTACCGAGAGCCATAGATCGAATCCGGGAGCTGAAGTATGGCCTTTTCCTTTAGCAATGAACTCGGCTACTTGATTACCCACGAATCTCGCTACCTCTGGCGCGATATTCGCACAGAGCGATAATGGAGCTGCCGTGTAGAAACTAAAAAAAAAATGTGAAACCAGTCAGTCGAAAAAACCCTAAACATCTCAAGAATATGAATTCAGAATGATCATTAACGAACAAAGTTAAAGACTTTAAAATCCCCGAAAGGAAAAGGATAACTTACAACAATCCGGCGAAATAGCCGAAAATGTGCATACGGGCCGAGGGGCTATACTTGAATACGTAAACCGACTCTATAAGCCGTCTTATGACTTGGCTTTCCATCAGCAGAAGTAGAAACACTGTTTTCCAAACGTTGAACCGATGCTCAAGCGGGGTCAAACGGGACTTGTGAAACGAGAAAACATGCGAACCGCCGGTTAAGTGGCTGGCAACGTCAGGGAAATGCAACTTCTCGGAGGACAAAGGCGCCGTTTCGTAAGCGTATCTCCAAGTTGTAACGAGCAAAAGAGTCGTCCATGCCACCCCAACGATATAGAAATGGCCGAAAAATTTCTGAGGAACTGTGAATTTCTGCATTCAGGTCAAAAGTAACATAACACAAATCAGCTTATGTCGGAATCAAAGAAACAGACATTAATCCAAACATTTTACAAATGAATCTTTGAAGACTCTCTACAGAAAAAGGATTAAATTCAGAACAAGGAGCTTCAGCTTAGATTAACGAATAGCTTCAGAACTTTGTGGATTAAGGTCGAAATCATAGAACTTGAAGCAAAGTGACAACAGTTTGAGCATATATATATATATATATTATATTGATCTAGCAACTGAAAGGTAAACAGTTCTTGAAGCGAAACCCAAAATCAAAGCAAACCATGTAAGATTCTCAGCAACAGATCTAAGTTTTCTTTCATTTTCACCAGAACCAAATAAAAACCCAGATAATCTCGCAAAATTTTCAAGCTTTGTGATCAACGCCCACGAACATAACAATGGAAGATAACTCAAAACATAAGACGACGATCAAAGTAACCTAATTAGCTTCTCAGCAACAGTTCTGCAGTTTCCCTTCATTTCCCCCCAGAACCCAACAAAAACACAGATTTTCCCGGAAAGTTAAGAACTTTGATCAGTACCCAAAAACCAAAAAAAAAAAAAATGGAAGAGAACTCAAACCTTAGACGATGATCGCAGAGTCTTTCCTCTTCCAGCAAAACCCACAATGAATCCACGGAACTTGCTGAGCTTGGGACTGGGTATCGAAGCAATCAATATAGGCGATATACCCGCCAGCCAAGCAGCTCTGATCAACCACACAAACCAAAACTCCATGATTTCTCCTTAGGGTAGCGAAGAACCAGACGAACAAAGGAAAACCCTAGAAACCTGTGAATTTAAATGGGGCTCAGTTTGGATCAAGCGTCATCCTGGAAGAAGATAAGCATGAATTGCCCGAAGGGGAAACCAAATAAGGGGGCAAAAGAATATGGATTAACATCGGAATCCTCGTCCTTGATTAAATTTGACCCAAAAAAACAGAAGGAAAATGCGTGATAATTGGCGTGTGAAATTTATTTTTTAAAAAAAAGTAACTTGTTAATAATATAATTAAGGTATGTTTATGTCAACACGACCTAGCAGACAGTTAGGTTCTGATACTAATTAACAAGGTTTAGATCGAACAGAGAGTTAGGTTCTAATACCAGTTAACAAGATTTAGATCTTAACTCCACTATAAAAATTAGCTTAAGAGTGGAAATTAGATTTTGATACAATTAACAAGGTTTAGATCTTAACTCCACTATAAAAATTAGCTTAAGAGTGGAGGTTTGACTCTCAGTTATATATGTTAGATCCAAATCTCTCTTTTTCCAATGTGACACTTATCACTTTATTGCTCCCAAAAATGAAACTTTTGTTGAATTGGTACATGAGAGTTTGGTCACAAGCAAGGAAATGGAAATATCCCGCAACGTAAACCTACAAAATCTGACGAATCAAAGCATAAATCATCATAGGAATTTTGAACTACCTACCGAGCTGACACATCAATGTGCGGAACGGAGATTGTTATGAGCATCAAGACAGATTTTAAACGTCTCTTGAGCCATCTCCCAAACTAATGGGAACCACCCTTTTGAACAAACTACCGAGCTGATGCATCAATGGCTCTACAAACGTTGTTATAAGCATCAAGACAGAGTTTAAACTTCTCTTGAGCTGTCGCCTGGGAAGGACCCTGGTTCTTGTCCGGGTGCCACTTAAGGGCTGCCGCTTTGAACGCTTTCTTGACATCCTCGATCTTGAGGGGACCGAACTGAGGCAGGTCCAGAATTGCCCTATCGGATCGTGACCCTACACTCCACGATTCGTCGTCCCGAGGATTCGACTGCTGGGTCTGGCTCGTCCAGCTCCAGCCTTCTCTCCATTCGAAACCCGACGAGGCCGAGTTTCTTGAACAAGATCCCTGCTTGAAAGACCAACTGTACGATTTATCCGCAAACCTCACTTCAAACCTCGTCTCATTATCGTAGTAGTCATCGGATAGATTTCCTTGTCTGTGCCATCGTTTTGTTTTCTTGTCACGAGGCTTTTTACCCTGTCCTGGCTTACATTTCTTACTCGGCTTCTCCTGCTTCGGCGAATCAAAGTTCCAACCATCCTTCAACGAGTTTCTGACTCCGCCGGCATGGAAGAGAAGATGGTTTAGAGCTTTCTTAGCATCAGCACGCTTCTGTCTTACGGTATACCTTATATGGTTCTTGGAGGGTCGTTCACGCTTCTGAGCTTTACCTTCAGAATCAAACTGTTTCTTCCATTTGTCAGACAACACACTCGTCGAATGAAACGACGCGTGATAATTTAACGTGGATGAAGACGATTGTATTTCACGAATCAATGAAATATTTTTCAGGCAAAAGAGATTTCTCCATCTGGGTATGAGCATAATGGGGCTGCACAAACCCTGAACAGAAAAAAAAGTTTTTTTTTTTGCCTTAGGAAGAGGATCAAATCGCTAGTTTCAGAAGACAAACGAACAGAAAGCTTCATGTTTATGTTATGTCATGTAATAGAAATGGCTCCAAAACCCATTTCTTCCCCTCAAAATCGGATCTTTTCCAATGCTTCTCCATGTTGGGTTGCTAAAGATGAGTAATAAAACCGACAGTATTTACTCATCGATAACGTTTTTGTCTCTTCTCTCCAAACAAATCGATCGATGAACTAACAAGACAAGAAGAAAGATCAAAGATGGAGAACAAGAGAAAGGAGAGAAAAATTACCGGTTCGTTCAGCTCGGATCTTCCGCCGGAGATTCGCCGGTGGAGTTATCTCGCCGGCGGGGGAGTCGTCGGTCCTGTGAGGATCAAAGCAAACGGAAACGAAAGAGTTTGATTAGGGGAACATAACATGAAGATATCTAGGGTTCAGGCCTGGGAAGATTGGACTGTGTTTGGGCGTAGAATTGGGCCTCAATGGCCCATAACGGGATTGATGGACTTACCAGGTGAGCCCACCGGCCCTAATAGATAACATCTTGCAGTGAAGTTCCGAGTATTTGCCTTAACTGAGAGGATGGAGACATTATTTAAAAAAAAGACTCATATAAATCGAAATGGTGAAAATCTCTCTCTCTAAAGAGAACCAAATATAGGCTACAACCCAATTCAGAGGTGAGATCTCTTTCTCTCTCTAAAGTAAAATTGGCAATGAAACAAAAGCAAAGATCAAATTCTAAAAGAGGCAAAAATACAAAATCTTGGAATGAATCTCTCTCTCCCATCTCTGAGGAAGGAAGAATCTCAGACAAGACAGCATCAACTCCCATCCTTCCCCCACAACATCTGAGGAAGAAGAACAAAAAATGTTGCCATAAAAGTCAAGTCAGAATCCATTCTTTTCTTCCATTACTACTCCAAAACTTCTCTACCGAACCCAGCCGCCGTCGATGTTGTCAATCCCTCCCGTAAGGCCGTCGTCGATAAAATCGCCTCCCCTTTTCACCTTTACCTCTGTAGGCTTCACCGGGTAATTCCCGGTGAAGCAAGCGTAGCAGTAACTCCTAGACTCCTCTCCCAAGAACCTCTTCAAGCTATCGAACGATAGAAACGCGAGCGAATCACACCCGATGTAATCCCTAATCTCCTCGGTACTCATCCTGTTCGATATCAATTCCTCCGAGCTAGGCGTGTCCACTCCATAGTAACACGAAGCCACGATAGGGGGAGACGCTATCCTCATATGAACCTCTTTAGCCCCCGCTTCTCTCAAGAGGCGAACAATCTTTGACGAGGTTGTTCCTCTCACGATCGAATCATCCACCACCACTACCTTCTTCCCTTCCAAAACTCCACGGACGGGCGAAAGCTTTAGCTTCACTCCAAAATCCCTGATCCTCTGAGATGGCTCGATGAATGTCCTCCCGACATAGTGTGACCTTATCAAACCTTGCTGAAATGCCACACCGGCTTTGGCAGCGTACCCAAGAGCAGCCACGACGCCAGAGTCGGGCACAGCAATCACGACATCGCAATCAACAGGAGACTCTGTGGCTAATATCTCACCGAATATACGACGGGATTCATACACAGACCGACCAAATACAATGGAGTTTGGCAAGGAGAAGTATATATGCTCGAAAATGCACTGTTTCGGCTCGGGGTGAGGCATCAAACACTGCGATTTCACGCCGTCTTTGTCCACAACCATGACCTCACCTGGATAAACCTCTCTCTCGTATGTCGCCTCGATCAAATCAAGAGCACAAGTCTCTGAAGCGAAAACTATTGCACCGTTGCTTCTCCTACCCATCACTAATGGCCTAAACCCAAACGGATCACGAACAGCTACGAGCTTATCCTCGGTCACAAACACCATGGAATACGCGCCCTGAAGCTTCCCACACGCATCAACAATCCTCATGAAAAAGGGTCTGGCTTTTGAGATAGCAATCAAGTGAAGCACAACCTCTGTATCAGAACTAGTGTTGAAAATCGAACCGTTCTCCTCAAGCATTGCTCTCAATTTCTTATAATTCACTAAGTTCCCGTTGTGGGCAACACCTATGGACCCAAACCTATAACCAGCGACGAATGGCTGAACGTTCTTCAGCATCGAAGAACCTGCAGTCGAGTACCGGACGTGACCAATCGCCATTTCTCCAGGCAACTGGTCGAGTTTGGACTCGTTGAAAACATCGGAAACCAACCCAACACCGGTAATTGATTGAAGAACCCTATCATTGTTCACTGCAACAATACCTGCGCCTTCCTGACCGCGATGCTGAAGCGCGTGGAGAGCCAAGTAACAGAGCCGCGAAGCCTCCGGGTCGCCATAGATTCCGACGACGCCGCACTCCTCGCGAGGCTTCTCGTCATCGTCGTCAGCAAAACTCCCGTCTGGGTATTCGTTTTCCCCCAAGAAACTCTCGTTCGCGAGCGAGAAACACGGAGAAACTCCATGGACAGTACGGGAAGGAGATGAAGAGGAGAGAGCGGAGGGAAGGAGAGAGACAGTGGAGGGTTTAGGGAAGGGCTTTCGGAGATGAACAGGGAGAAGGGTATTACAGGGCTTGTTGTTAGGTTCTATAAAGAGAGAAGAGGAGGAGAGGGAGGAGAAGTTTGTGGAAGCCGCCATGGATGAAGAAGGGTGATGGTGGTGGTGGCTTGACGAGAAGAGAATTGGGTACTAGGTTTTTTTTTTTTTTGGTTGGAAGCTGAAAAAAAAAACCGAAAATAGAGAAGCCGAGCGGGGGAGGACTTTGACTGTGTCACCAATTGGTGACAATGACCGCCTCACCCTTGAAGAATCTTTATTTCCCTTTTTTTTTTACTTTTCAATATTCTGAGAATCCTATTTTAATTTATATTATTTTTTGAACTTTATTCTTATAAAATATTGAGGACCGAGGCTCACTTTCACTTTTAATAGATAGATATATCTATTTTTTCCGCGCCGATTGAATAAAATTTGTCTTACAACTTAAAGTAACATCGATCATTGTGCATTTTATATACATTCAACCCATGAGCCACGACCCAAAGAATTAGTTACAAGTTATGTGCTTCCAAGGCTAATTGTATCTATTCTAAAATAAGATTACTTGTAACAAAGATCTTATCAAAATTTAAAATGAAAGACAAAAGTACTTTAATATATTTGTTTTTATTTCAATATTTTTATTTTATTTTATTACACGTAGACTATTTCTCAGCATCAGCCCACTTCTTCTGGTCGTCTTCTGAGGCCTTGGCCGTAATACATATCATTAAAAAAAATTCCATATTCTCAGTTATGGATTTTACATATTTTCTATATTCCAAGGAGAGAACAGAGGCAGAGAGTAGAGACATTGGAGAGCTAAGCTAACACAAAGGGAAACAAGACACAACATGAAGCAGCAGACAAGATGGAGCTCATGTTGAGTTAATTCACAAGCAGTGCCCCTGTATTCTCTTCATCCTCCTCTCCTGCAGCATCAATGCTTTCATCAAGTTCTTGACACAAGTTTCATACATAGACATTAGCAAATGAATCCACCAGTGAAGTTATATGCTTTGTCTGGTAATTGCTTTGTCTGTAAAGGGCCCTGATCTAAAATCGCCTCTCAAAAGACACCGACTGGGTATCTTGGATCAGAGAATACACACGGTACACATTCATTGTGTATGTGCGTGCATATATATACTCACCAAAACTACCTTGAAGTTGTCTGAGACTCACCGAGAGGAGTGTCGGGTCACTCCCAGAAACAAGATTTAGCGTTGGCTGCTTAATGTGGAGCTGGCCATTACTTAACATAGATGATGTCTTCGTCGGGATCATCACCTTCCCAACCTTGATCTTCCTCAGGTAAATTAGATGGTTCTGGTTGCACCTCTTTCCCATCTACCGCTATTTCTTTCTCAGCTTTTATCTTGTCCAGTATAGCGATTACCTAAAAGGATCCCGAAATCAGTTTCATGTGGCAAATGCATGCTAGGTGAAACAGAAAAACACATTGCAATTAGATAGGGGAGTGCAGGAAATTAGTATATGATAGTGATTGCATTATTGCTAGCAATCGTCTGGACAGGCGAACACGGTTTTCTAGTGTAAGCCTGGACAAGAATTTTAAAAATCTGACGAAGCTATAGAAGATACGCTCAGTCATATGCTTGTGAATGCCCTAGAGATGAGAAAACTGATATTACTTGTAACAACATTAGATGTCCACGAGAGAGCATGTCATAGATTATACTGTTAGAACTTAGATCCCACAGGGATTCAGGAGAAGAAAAGAGACAAACTAAAACCATCCTAACTCTACTCGTAAAATGAGATGCCACTGGGGTTTGCCAAATATGAATCCCCAAGACACCAAGTGCAGAAAAAATTAAGACTAAAAGAGGTTATTGCACGTTTTCTTACCAACCGCAGATTCTATTAACATTCATAGACACCATCATTCGGTGCAGTATATGATTGAAACCTTACCCTGCTTCCTCTTTCCATTGATTCATCCTCAATAAATCTGATCTCAGGAGTCAATCTCAACCTCATTCGCCTGCCAAGCTCACCCCTCACATACTTAGCCTTCGACTTCAACCCGGCAATTGCCACTTCTTTCCCTCGATCATCCCCGAAAACCGATACATATACTTTAACCACCTAAAACCAAGAACCCAAAAACGGAGTAAGCCATCAACCTAACAATTGCAACAGTCATTTATCAACAACACGCAGGATTCTCAACTATCTGATATGACTTGCTTCTGCTCAAGAACTGATTCGCATAACCAAGACTAAAGCTTTAGCTAAGAAATACTCCAAATGCGAGAACGCAATCCCATAACATCAAATTAAGCTCCGAATTTCACACATTTCTCGGACCAAGGATTCAAATCAAGAGAACCTTAACCCTATAACTTACTTTATCCTACGGGACTGAAAACCGGGGCTGTTACCTGCAAATCATTAGAGACCTCAACATCGCTGATGGTAGTGAGAGAAGAGAGGTAGCGATCGGCTCCCAAACCGGCTTCGGGCAAGACAGCGTACTGCAAGACCTTGTCAGTCAGAAGCATGTCAGAGATCTCTCTTTGTATCTGCTTCGCCACCATCTTCACCCGCCTCGGGTGCGCCATGCACCGCACGCTCCGGCGCACGGTGAGGCCCGTGCGGTGGTGAATCGGGGCCGTCGATACCGGGAAAAGGAACGGCTGCGTGGCGGAACGAACGGATGAGATTGACCGAGAGAAGAATATGAGAGGTTGATGGAAGTGGAGGAGGTGAGCCACCGTAGCAGAGGACCCCATCTCTTTCTACTTCTGCTCTCTGCGATTTTGGTGGAATAGTCCTCCAGACGAAGGGAGAACACACGAATATCCATCCCGATTGTAGATGCATCTGAGGGCATTTCGGTAATTTAAAATTTCGTAGTTCACAAGCCCTTTTCTATCAAACTTCGACGAATCCTAATGTCATGAGCCGTCGGCCCAAATTAGAACAACCGACGAATCCTAATGTCATGAGCCGTCGGCCCAAATTAGAACAACTCTTAATCAGCCATTTTATTTAAAATAAAAAATAAAATAAAAAAGCTGAAAATGCTATGTAAAGAGTGACCATTTAAATCAGAGTAATCGCATAAAAATACCCGAATTTTTACAAAAATTTTAAATAAATATCCGAACTATAAAATTGTCATATAAATATCTGAACTTTTCAAAACTCTCATATAAATACCTAAACTTTTAAATTTTTTCCAAATCAAACAAACGCAATTGCTGACTCAGCAAAAAACTGCTGACTCAACAAAAAAACTGTTGACTCAGCAAAAAACTGCTGACTCAACATTTAAAAATATTATTAAATATCCAAATATTCATCTACATATATTTAAATTAATATATACATGTAAATTCACATATATATACAAATATATATATATATATTAAAAATAAAATTATTTATAATTAATAAAACACATATACCTATAACTACAATATATATATATATCATTACTAATACATATATATTACAATAAAAATAATTATAATTAAATTTATTATTAAAAATAATAATAATAATAATAATAATAATACATAAAAATAATTATAATTAAATATATATGTTATGTATATATATTACTAAAAATAAAAATAATAATAATGCATTATTATTTTTAATAAGTATTTTAAAATAAAAATAATAGA